GCCCCCACCCGCGCCGCTCCTCCGCACGGCCGCGCGGACCCCTCCCTTCCCTTCCTTTCCCTCCCTCCCCCTTCCTTCCTTCCTTCCTTCCTTCCTTCCTTCCTTCCTTCCTTCCTTCCTTCCTTCCTTCCCTCCCTCCCTCCCTCCCTCCCTCCCTCCTTTCTTCCTTCCTTCCTTCTTTCTTGCATTTGCACATACTCCCACATAAGCAGGGGAGGAGCAGAGGGAGAGAGAGAATCTTAAGCAGGCTCCACCCCCAGCACAGAGCGGGAGTCAGGGCTCGATCCCATGACCTTGAGTTCATGACCTGAGCTGAAATCTAGTCAGACCCTCAACCAACTGAGCCACCCACGTGGCTCATAAGTGCATTTTTTTACTTGGTTAATTCTTTTTTTTTTTTTAATGTTTTATTTATTCTGAGAGAGGGAGACACAGCGTGAGCAGGGTAGGGTCAGAGAGAGAGGGAGATACAGAATCTGAAACAGGCTCCAGGCTCTGAGATAGCTGTCAGCACAGAGCCAGATGCAGGGCTCAAACCCACGAACTGTGAGATCATGAACTGAGCCAAAGTCGGATGCTTAACCGACTGAGCCACCCAGGCGCCCCTTTACTTGGTTAATTCTTTAGGTGACTACTTTATACATTTGCTAAAGAACGTGAACATTCCAAAAAGAGTAGTAAGTTTGACTTCATAGACTTTAATAATCCTGAGTTACCTTCAGTTTTATTTCTTTCTGTTGACTTTTGTACTTTTGTTTTCTTTACTCTGATGGCCGTTTACCTTTTGACCTTTCCCCAATGAGTCCAGATGAGGATGAAGGTGATGTTGTAAAAGGATAATGTAAGAAGAAATTTGCTTTCCCACCTATCAAATGATCATTTTGATTATCTGTGCCTGCTTATATACACGGGCTTTAAACTTTAAAATTCTACATAGCCTAACTGGTCCCTTTTTTCTTCACAGAGTTGTGGCTCTAAATTCACACAAGTCTGAAAAAAAGAAGAAACGTTATAAAGATTCTCTTTCTCTAGCTGCCATGATACGAAAATTTCAGAAAGAGAAGGATGCATTAAAGAAGGAGCCTAACCCCAAAGTCCCAATGAACTTAGCAACCTCCTCTCTGAATAAAACTCCCTCCGCTGCTGTAGCATTGGGAAATGATGTCTCGGACTTAAATCTGAACAGTGCTGATCCGGACCTCCCCATTTTTGTTGGCACAAATGAACATGAACTGTTTCAGGAAGCTGAAAATGCCCTAGAGATGCTAGATGATTTCGACTTTGACAGATTATTGGATGCTGCTTCTGATGGTAGCCCCCTCTCTGAGTCAGGGGGAGAGAATGGAAACACCACCCAGCCAACCTATGCCTCTCAGATTATGCCCAAGGTGGTGCCCACACTCCCAGAGGGTCTGCCTGTCCTCCTTGAAAAACGCATTGAAGACCTCCGTGTAGTAAGTATAATTCCCTTGTTTCTTTTTTGCTGCACAAACATAACAATAAGTGCATTTTATAAGGCAAAAATAAGAACCTACGGTCCCAACACCCATATAAACAATTTTTAATTTTCTGTATTTCCTTTCAGGCATTGGCTATATTTATAAGCCTTTGATTTTAAGTAGAAGTATGTATAACTATAGTTATAGCATGATATGGGTGGTTGTTTTATTATTTCATTTCAACTTCTAGTTTTCAGCATAGGTTTCATAAATACAATTTTTATGGTAAAGAAGTCATGTAAAAGCGGAGGGAACGTAGGAGCAAGTAGTAACATTGCATGGGTGTACCTGAACGTGATCTGAACTATACTGACATCTGGTTATTTTATAATTGATTTTTCCAACTAATCCTTTCCAGCTAATCAGCACCTTTTGTAAGCATGCACTGTGTTCCCAGTAGGACAGACTTGAGAGCTGAGTGTTTAGCATGTCGCCTTAGATACCTCTCTAGATCGACTTGGATTCGTAATCCTTGTTTAACTAGCTGCAAATCCAGATAAATGTCATCACACTTATCCAATTAATCTCACAGAGAGAGTATTTGGACTTAAAATAACATTCCAAATCTAGCTTAAAATGCTCTTATTGATTACTTTAGCATGTTTATTTGAACCCATGCCATATTTTAGTCCCCCTTTTTTTTCCTGACTACAACAATAAAACACACATTACAAAATGTATTTCAGGAGCACCTGACTGGCTCAGTCAGAAAAGCATGCAACTCCTGATCTTGGGGTTGGGAGCTTAAGCCCCATGTTGGTTGTGGAGATTACTAAACAGATAAATTAAAAACCCGAAACACCAAAAGTGTATTTTATACGTAGGGAAAGATCCCCTATTATCTGACATTCATTCCCCACCGCCAGCAGAGATAACTACTATTTACTATGTATTTTTTTGGATTTTAATACATGAATTCGCAAATGTTATATTATTATAAAAAATAATTAATGGGATTGTAATGTATGGACTGTTCTACAACTTGCTTCTTTCTCCAAGGATTAGTGTAATCTTATTTAAGTCATGTTTTAAAATGTATTAATTATGTTTATATTGTATTTATTTCTCATAACTTTTCCTCAAATTTAAATATCTGGTTAGGGAAATATTAGATTTATCTGATTTTTTCAGTAACTGGCCCACAGATTTTATTTAGCAATTCTGTTATTTTTTCTGTTTTATTCTTTAGCGTTTCTTCTGGAGTTGTGACCTAATTGTAATTGCCTGTTAAAGTGTTACTTTATTTATTTTGAGAGAGAGAGCGTGACCAGGGGAGAGAGGAAGAAAATTTCGTGCTTAACCGACTGAGCCACCCAGGTGCCCTGATTGCCAGTGTTTCTTAGGTTATAACTTGTATTTACCATAGTTTTTGCCTTGTTCATTTTTGTGCTGTTGTTTGACCCATAAAATTCTTTAAAAAATTTTTTTTAATAGTTTATTTATTTTTGAGAGAGAGAGGGAGACACAGAATCTGAAGCAGGCTCCAGGCTCTGAGCTGTCAGCCTAGAACCCGATGCAGGGCTTGAACCCACAAACTGTGAGACCATGACCTCAGCCGAAGTCGGACACTTAACTGACTGAGCCACCCAGGCGCCCCAGACCCATAAAATTCTTGATAGCTAGATCTTCTTTGTGGTCATTATCATTTTAAGGTGACTTTTTATGCTGTTAATGCCTTTCACCTTGAATTTAGCTTTGTCTGATTTACCGTGGACTCTCTTATTTTTACATAGTATATAGCTTTTCTTATCATTTACCTTCGACCTCTTTAATTTTCTTTAGTTTAGCTCTTTCTAAGATAGCGTATAAATGGAAATTTGTTTATTGACCTCATTTGAGTCTTTTTTCTTTTAACAAATAATTTTAACTTCTTACATTTGTTATAATTATATAATTGATCTTTGCCATTTTCTTTTTTATTCTGTTCTTTTATTTCCTCCTTTGTTTTCGTTCTTGAGCTGTTTTCTGTGCTTATTTTTTGAAAAGTTTACAATTTCTATAGTTTCAGTAATAAACAGATTTTTAATTTAATCTTTTTAGCTACTTTGTATAGAAAATATAGGTTTTCTTTCTTTTTTATGGTTAAGAAATTTGAGGTAGGTTATAGCGTGGTCAGGTCCACACAACTATTAAGTGATGGAGCTGAAATTTAACTACAGTCTGGGCTTTTTGGTCTCTCATTTTGCCCATTCCTAAAATCTTTAGTTTCTTCTAAATTTTAAAAAATGCTTAGTGATGTGATCCACATTTTTCAAGATGTAATTAATAACAATAGCTGCTGTTTATTTAGCAAAACTTGTACCCTGAACTGAGCGCCATGCTGCCAGGTCTCCCATAGCGGTTACGATTCAGGAGGCAGCACTGTGATTGGGCTTGGTGTTCTTTACCTACTGTGCAGTCTGTCCTCCCCCAATCCAGTGAGGTAGGTAGTGTTCCATTTAATAGATGAGGAAATAAAGGTTCAAAAGGTTTAAATGCTTTAGGTATCTGAGCCATGATTCAGAGGCGGAACCATGGAGCTCCATAACAGGCAGTCTCTGTGCTATGTTATATGCCGTTCATTCTCACTTAATAAACAAAATAAAATTGATTAGTAATGAGTGTGTTACAATCTTGTAAAAGCTTTGTCTTATATACCAAAAATTATTCTCTGTGTCTGTAGTAGCCCTGCCAGGGTTAGTATATCTGCTCTCTTGGTAGAGAATCATCAATAAGAAGTTTGATATCACTTACTGGTATCTATGACTTCTATTTTTAATTTGAAATATGAGATGGAGGCATGCCTGGTGGCTCAGTCGATTAGGCATCCAACTCTTGATTTTAGCTCAGGTCGTGATCTCACACTTCATGAATGCAAGCCCTGTGGCTGGGCTCTGCACTGAGAGCGTGGAGCCCACGTGGGATTCTCTGTCTCGCTCTCTCTCTGCCCCTCCCCCTCTTGTGCATGGGTTCTCTCTTCTCAAAATAAATGAAAAAAAGAAATATAAGGTGGTATTTTTTCTTTAGGAGGTGAGATTTCATCCTTGGCTTAAATGCTTATGTCTGTGTGATAAGGAGTTGTTTCTTAGGACTCTTTTCTTACTTTGCAATATTCTCCCACTGTTCAACTTCTTGACTTTTTTAAATTTTCTTTCATGACATTTAGTTTTCCTTATTGCTTTCATGTATTTCTGCCCGCTGCATATACACAGCTTTTATTCTTTCTAAGAAATACTGAGGCACGCCTTAGAAATTTTCTTCTGTTTATTGCATGTAAAATTGTCAAATAACTTGATGGGTTGACACGGTCAGCATATGGCTTGCTCAGATTATTAGATCAGATTTCTTGATGTTTAACATCTCATAGATCTCAACCATATCCTTTGTGGTTTTCCCAGTAAATTTTGCTTATGGTAGAGTGTCTTAGTGTGTATCGTTGGTTTCTGGTCACCTGGTTGAGGTGACAGTAATGATGAAAATACTATTCTTGCTGACAGAAACTGAGGACTGATGGATGTGGGGGGGAGGGGGGGATGGGCATGGAGGAGGACACTTGTGGGGATGAGCACTGAGTGTTATGTGGAAACTAATTTGACAATAAACTATTTGTAAAAAAAAAAAAATACTGTTCTTAAGCTCATGGCACTAATTTCTGCTTATTCCTTGATAATAACCTTAGCTGTGTTTTTTTGTTGTTCATGATAAGGGTAGAACCTAAACTGGCTGCAGGAAGCCAGTGTCTAAGTCTCTTTGCACAGTGTGCTCATGTTGCCCAGTTGAAGTCGGAGAGCTTGTGGGGTGAGCCCTGGATGCACCACTTATTAAGTAGTGTGATTTGGGGGCACGCCATGTAACCCCTGACAGATTCAGGTTCGTTGTTTGTATAATGGGGGCTGTCATACCAATGTCATTGGCTGTTGTGAGGCTTAAACATGATAGTGAGTGTAACAGAGAGAATATCAGACAGATCTGTAGTCGGTGTCTGTAGAAAGTGAGACTTCTGCTTTCTGTTATGTTGGAGATCACAGCAGTAATTAATAAACCAGTGGATAGTCAAATACACAAGATACCCAACACACTAAAAAGTCTTGTGTTTGGGGTGCCTGAGTGGCTCAGTCGGTAGAGCATCTGACTTCAGCTCAGGTCATGATCTCGCGGTTCATGGGTTCAGGCCCCGCATCAGGCTCTGTACTGACAGCTCAGAATCTGGAGGCTCCTTCGGATTCTGTGTCTGCCCCTCCTCCGCTCACGCACTTGCTTGCTCTCTCTCTCTCTCTCTCTCTCTCTCTCACTCTCTCTCTCTCTCTCCCTCTCCCTCTCCCAAAAACAAAAAATTTCTTAAAAAGTCTTGTATGTATGATTCTGTTAATTTATAAAGATTGAGAAAAATTAAATACAGATATAATAGGAAACAGTGGTACATATGCTAAATTTGTTTCAACACTGCCTACTCATGTCAGGTACTAAACTGGGTACGGAGGAAACAAAGTGAATTAAATCATAGTCACCTCACCCTCAAGAGGCTTATTCTTTCCTAAATAGATATGGAAACAAATAATGTGTTTATTGAAAGCAATATTGACAATCTTATGTTTCTCTAGGCTGCCAAACTTTTTGATGAAGAAGGAAGGAAAAAATTCTTTACACAGGATATGAATAATATTCTTCTGGAGTAAGTAATTCTTTTCTTCGATTAAAAAAAACCTGAAAAATTATTTAAACTTGACGAATTTGTTTAAAAATATAGCTGATTACAACTTTATAGGTTGAATATTATTTTAGATTTAAATATATTTTTTTGGTCACACTCTATGAAAGTGTCTTTCTGGAACAGCTCTGAATGTTCATATTAAATTTGGTATAATTTTCCTTCTACTTTCATTCAGACTTGGGAAAAATATCCGTTGGTATCTAGCAAGGTTAATATAATTCATACAAACATTTGTAGATAAATGGAAAGTATGGTTTAAAGGAGAAATTCTGGTTGTGAGGTAGGAGAGAGGCAATGTGGAGAAGAGAAAGGGGGGAGGGGGGGCCAGGCCGAAGGCCACCATATGATACAGATTGTATTTAAGTTTGTGACAGATTGTATTTAAGTTCCTGACAGTTTTTACTCTCAGCTGGAGTTTGATACTAACAAAGCTGTAGGTCCTCAATTGTGGTCAAATAAGTTGTCCTTATAGAACAAATGGATTGTAAATTTTGACCATTAGTTATAGAAGTTGAGTGTGTAATTAATTGCAAGCAGAACTCGACAAAAAAACAATCGTGGAGAAACAGCAAATTTTCCTCCTCTTTCACGAAAACGATGTGTGCCTGTTCTTAGAGGTTCAGTAGTGTTATATACAAAGAAACCATCAGTATTTCCAGTACTGTGTGGGAGGCCTGTCTTTTAAATATACAATGAAGGTAGTTTCTCATATAAAGGATGATGGATTGGTTTGTTTTGATAACTGTTTTAATGAAGTACAATCTCTCTTTCTCCTGGAATACTTAAAAAATCTTTTTGGTCCCCCACGGACTCATGAAACACATAACCTAGTGTGCTGCTGGTGTAGTGACAGGCATTTCTTGTTCCTGCTCTTCATTTTAGCCAGGGATTTTCAGATTGATTCTGTCTGTCTGGAAGCACAGCAAATGCTTCCTGTCTGCGCCAGATCCTTTTACCTGGCTCCCTTTTTACCCCAGATTCAATAAAGAGTATAACCATTATTCATCAGAGCCGTCCCAGATTCCATAGTCAGGAATCTGACTAGCTCTTCTTTTTCTTCCCACTTGAGAGCCCTGTGTTTACTAGCACAGGTCCTTTTCCTGTGACTGAGACCATTGTTTATTATTTTACTCTTCTGTAAGAAGGACCATCTTTTTCTCTCCTGAGAGAAACAAAGGACCATCCTTGGGACCTAACATCTCAAATAAGCAGAATATCAACATTCCATTAACAGGCTTCTATCTTTCTTTTTCTTTCTTTCTTTGTTTCTTCTTCTTCTTCTTTTTTTTTTTAAGTAATCTCTACACCCAATGTGGGAGTCGAACTCATGACCCCGAGAGCAAGAGTCACATGCTCTACCAACTGAGCCAGCCAGGCACCCCCACCACCCCCAGCAGACTTCTCTTAATCCCTCCATGTTTGTCTTAAATCCTCTCGTTTCTCAGAGCCCTATTGTTATTTCACAGAGTGTTCTTCCAGTTCTACAAGCCCTAGTGCTCAGTCTATTTTTTTCTTTTGTAGTCACTTATTTATGCCTCTTTTTCCACTTTCCTAAACATCCCTGATTTCTTTGTACTGAGTTGATCTTCTAAGGTCATATGGTATATGATTATTTTGTGTAGTAAATTTCCATGAAATTATCCACTTGTATTGGCTCTACCTCATCATTGCTTCTTTATGATGGGGAGAAAGGGAGGTAAGTTTATTGGAATAGGGAACACTTTTTCTTTTTACCTAATTAAGTTTGACTTGGATCAGTAAATATACAACATGCTGACTTTATCTTTCCTATTTCCTCCTTTACCTCAAGCAGACATTGCTAATAAAATCTTGATACTCTTTGCCTATGATCTCAATCCAACCTGAGTTCTGTTCAACATATGCTCTAGGCAGGTACTACAATCCCAGTGGACACTTGCAATGAGCCCTGTCTGCCATCTCATTGTTAGATACTGCTTTAAGGAACTCATGAGTGAGTATTGGCTTTTGAATCTCAGTATGAATAGACTTATCAATTGGTCTTTATGTTGGTCTCACCTTCTCTGACATAAAGAAAGGTTACCAAAGTGAAGGGGTTGATCCTCTGCCACAGCTCTCCTTACTCTCTTGAGGGGTTACTTTGCCTTTGGAAAAACAAACTTGGAACAACATCTTTTTTTTTTTTAATTTTTTTTTTTATGTTTTATTTATTTCTAGGAGAGAGAGAGAGACAGTGTGAGCAGGGGAGGGTCAGAGAGAGAGAGAGTCACAGACTGAAACAGGCTCCAGGCTCTGAGCTGGCAGTCAGCACAGAGCCTGACGCGGGGCTCGAACCCACGAACCGCGAGATCATGACCTAGGCGAAAGTCGGACACTTAACCGACTAAGCCACCCAGGCACCCCAGAACAACATCTTTAACCTATGCCACACCAGGCCTTCTGTAGGTAACACTAGAACCAGCCCATCTGAATAAGGTCGTTCAGGGAAGGAGGGATCTACATCCCTCAAAAGGCTTTTGAGTTCTTGCTATAAAATAAGAGTTATTTTCGATTTTGAGTTTGGGTTACTACTCCTTAAGTCTTTCTTCAGTTACTAGTTTCAGTGGTTCTGTTATATGGATCGTATTGGTAGGATATCTGAAGTATTTAAGGAAAAATTCAAGAAATTTTAGTAGATTCTGAATTCATTTGGACTTAATTAGTCGGGTTTTCTTTTACTAGTGTTTTTAAACTGAATAAGATATGTATTCTTTTTTTTTTTTTTTTAATGTTTGTTTTTTAGACAGAGCATGGGCCAGGGAGGGGCAGAGAGAGAGGGAGACAGAGGATCCAAAGCAGGCTCCATGCTGTTAACAGAGACCTCATCGCGGGGCTTGAACTCAGGAACCACAAGATCATGACCTGAGCCAAAGTTGGACACTTAACTGACTGAGCCACCCAGGAGCCCCTGTATTCTGTTTTTTAAAAGAAGGCGAAGGGTGCCTGGCTGGCTTAGTTGATGGAGCCTGTGACTTGATCTCGGGGTCAAGATCCTAAGCTCCACATTGGGTGTAGAGGTTACTTAAAAAAACAATTATTAAATTGAGGGAGTTGTTGGGGCACCTGGGTGGCTCAGTTGGTTAAGCGTCTGACTTCGGCTCAGGTCTTGATTTCATGGTTCATGGGTTTGGGCCCTGCGTCGGGCTCTGTGCTGGCAGCTAGCTAAGAGCCTGGAGCCTGTTTAAAAAAAAAAAAAAAAAAAAAGAGGGAGTTGAGGGGCGCCTGGGTGGCTCAGTCAGTTAAGCGTCCGACTTGGGCTCAGGTCATGATCTCGCGGTTCGTGGGTTCGAGCCCTGCGTTGGGTTCTGTGCTGACAGCTAGCTCAAAGCCTGGAGCTGGTTTCAGATTCTGTGTCTCCCTCTCTTACTCTCCCCTGCTCATGCTGTCTCTTTCTCACTCAGAAATAAATAAAACATTAAAAAATTTTTTTAAAAATTAAAAAAGAGTTGATGAGATAGGAACATATATTTATGTATCAGTTATGGTGAAATGACTGTATTTCTAGAACTTGATGTGAAAATATAGGTAAGACTAAGCATTCCTGAGCGAGAAGAGTCTTTTTTATAAAGTTGGCCATTGCTTCAGCTATGGATTCCTATGTTGTGTTTGTTTGAGGCTTCTTCAGAGGCATATGAGTGCCTTGTAAAGATAGGGATATAAAAGTGGGTTTCAACCTTACTTACTTAGAAAATCCAGTGTTTGTCTCCAGTGTATTACCAGCAAATGGTCTCAGTATATTTTTGTCCATTTAGAGCCTATAGTGATCTCATGCTTATAATTTATTATCAGAGGTTTGAGAACCATTCATTGTAACATTCATGCATGGATATCTGCTTTAGGGTTAGACTTAAAGAAGGAGAGAAAAGGAAAGAAATATGGTGGAGAGAAGAGGTCAGGTTCAGGAAAGTTCATTGCTTCGGGAGAACCTTTATTTTTCTAAAATGTGAAAATACCTGAAATTCAAACTTTCATTGCCATGTGTTTTTAGTCATCTCCAGATACTTCTTAGACCTTAGAAGATTGTAATTCTTAGAAAAAATATTAAATGTATGAGAGATGTGTGCATAAAATCTACTACTCTCAAGTAGGAATTTGTATATATTTGTGATAGACCTGTATAGTCTGTAGCCTTAAGAGTTAATATGGTCTTTAATTTTTATCTGGTATAGGCTTAGGAGCAGGGAGTCAGCTCTTCCTGTTTTTTAGTTTCCCCCTCTTTGGAAACCACTAATTTTTATATGTCACTGAGTCAGTCTATTCTTAATTAAAATCTCTTACTACTTGGAGTTTTATTTTATTTTCAGCCTCAACTACCCTTTAATAATAGGGCAAGCCAGGAAGCCTCCTACCCAGAGTCTAAACCTTTAATAAAGCTCTACACATAATTTATTTAACCAAATGTTTATACACAGAACTCATGACAGTAATGGTCGTTTCCCGTATGATCCTCTGCATTTGACCTCTGGTTCTTATAGAACCTAAACATTTTTTTCATTTGTATATTATGTTTGACTTCTCTAATACCAAGAATTTTCTCTTGCCAATGCTAAGAGCATAGTTTTCCACGTTTCATTGTTTTTGAAATTTGTAGTGTATCTTATAAGTGATGGACATATTTGATAGGCAGGGTTTCTTTCTTACCCAAAAGCTGTTAATTGAATCTTCGCATTCATCTTAGGAGAATTATTTATTAAATCTTCCTGTATCTTCTCCTATAATAGAATATGATGGTTTGGACATAGTTTGTTACCATGAGCCCCAGTTAAGTCTTGGCCTTCAAATAAACATCCGTTCCTACATTCCTACAATAGCATCTGCCAGATACAGTGTCTTCCATCTTGGAAGAAGCCTCAGTTATTTCTTGGTAGACTTGTCCAACTGAATATATGGTGGCTGTTAAAATTCTTTTCCTTCTTTTTCTTTAAATAACTATTAGGCTAAATACCCATATAACAATTTACTTTTGGTCTACAAAACTAATTTATAAATGGAAACAGGAACCAAAGAATTGGAATAAATTAAACTATTAAATATCTAGTTTGTGCAAGGCAAGCATAACAAGGGAGACAGATGGATAAAACAGTCTGTATATGTAGCCAGCAGAGCTTTACCTCTTCTGAATCTGCAATTCTTTCAGACACCTCCAAGGAAAAAATATTCTAAGAACTCATTGAAACTATATGTCTCTGTAGCTTAGCAATTGTGGTGGCAGGGAGAGGAGATGTGAATATCTCTTTGAGGAAATGAGCTTTTGATTAATAATGGAGTATCTATGCTTTACCCAAAAATGTAGGCTTTGTCCCTGTTCATCAAAAAAATTATTCACCAGGCTACTTGGGTTTATATAAATTCTCTGTATATTTTTTTCCTTGAAAAATACTGCCTAGGAAATCATGGAAAGATAAAACAAGAAAGAGTCGCTGCTTTTACCTCCCTGCTTATGTATTAGTACCTAAATGAAATTCTGTACTATTTATTTGTTGTTGTTTTTGTTCAGCATTGAGTTACAGCTACAGGAACTAGGCCCTGTCATTCGTAGTGGTGTCTACTCCCATCTTGAAGCTTTTGTGCCATGCAATAAAGAAACACTGGTAAAACGTCTAAAGAAGTTACATCTTAATGTCCAGGTAAGAGGAGGAACAATAATACCTGTATCTGGAGTTTTATTACCTGTGAAGAGATTAGTTTCTGTTTGGGACTTTTGCATATTAGTTGCTTTATACTCTTATTTTATGTATTGAATAACCATAGGAGGTTTTTAAAGACGTATTGGAGCTCTTGAAAAAAATTACTTTTCAGCAGGTGATAAGGCTAGATAAGAATGTTTTCTAAGGCATAGATTCCTGGACTGGTAAATTAACTTCAGTTCCACAGCTGATAAAACTTTGCCCCCAACAAATATCTGACAGATTCATAACTCAGTTTTCTTATTACTGAGTTGGATCTATACAGATTTATTTGTGCCTACATTACAAAGACTGGGAAAGAATCACAGGAGTACATGTAAACTTAGAGTTTTTTTGTGTAGTCATCCACGTTTTGCTGGATTCTTCTCCCCTAAAACCCCACCAAGTAATTAACTAACTTTGAAGGCTTCCAGTGGTCAGAAACTTATTTTATTATAGTATCAGAAAGTTCTTCTGTGCACCAAGCCAAATCTAGGTGCTCTCCACCCCATTGGTCCTAATTCTACCTTTGAGTCCATTCATAACCTAATTATTTGTCACCTTCATGGCTTTCATGTTTTTGAAAGCTTGTAATGTGTCTGCTCCTTCACTAGTTTTCAGTGCCTTCACTGTTCTGATTATTTTTCCCTTATGATTTATTTGATTATGTATTTTTAAAATATTTATAACTTGCAAATAATAGAAAATAATGCAGTTTAAGACAAAAGAGGACATATTTTTTCTATTACTAAATGTATTTCATGGAATTAAAACTACATCTGGGAGGCACATGGGTGGCTCAGTCAGTTGAGCATCCAACTTTGGCTCAGGTCATGACCTCACAGTTCATGAGTTTGAGCTCCACATCGGGCTCTCTGTTGTCAATGCAGAGCCTGCTTTGGGTCCTCTGTCCCCCTCTTTCTTTCCCCCTCCTCCGCTCATGCTCTCTCTCTCTCAAAAACAAATCAAAACAAAACAAAACAAAAAAACAAGAAAGGGATGGAAACTGATAATTGGGATTAACTTTTGTTTTTCTCTACCTGCCTCCCTATATCTTATTTTTATCCTTTTATGTGCATCTGAAAATATGATTACTTCATTCTCAAGGTTTTATATTATAGAAAGGCCACACACAGGGATTGACTCAGCCCTCTCATCCCAGTCCAAGTTTTTGTATCAGAAAATCTGATTATACTATCTTGGGTCAACCTAAACTTTTCTGGGCAGAGGATAGGAGTCACACAGCATAACATGGCTGTCCCAGGGCTTCCGTAGCTCTGATGGGGGATGAATGTGGTGCCCAGGACCACTAGTATTATGATCTGATAGGCATAGGATTCTTTATTATAGGTATTGTACTTCTGTTCATAAAATAATTCTTTTGAATTCGGAAACTATAAGTTCTTTCTCAGTGGAAAGCAGAGTAATAAGTGAAATTTACTTGAGGTGAGATTTTGTGTCTGCGCCTGGCTCCTTCAGACATGGACTGTTGGAGCTTACCGCCGTACGTTTAGGTGACGGGCATAGGTGCCAGTAGAAAAGGAGCTGGAGATAGGAGAACAGCCTCTCATACATTATAAAATATTTTCTGAGGGGCAGTTCAGATTTGGTGTTTGAAGTGATTTAATATTCCTGTTGGGTGTGGAAGAAGACATCTATCTTAACCTTTGCTTTTCGTTATATGGTTTTATCATGTATACTTTTAATCCCTAAATACTACATTGTTTGATTTTGCATGCTTTTTTGAGCTTCGTATAAATGGAGTCATCCTGTCTCCATACTTTTCTTCTGCAGCTTGTTTTTTTACACTGAACGTTATGTGCTTCAGATTTAGCTATGTCTTTACATGCGGTAGCACTCCAGTTTTCCTTCTGTGCAGTGTTTATACTGCTCTATTCTATAAATACATCCCAGTTATTGTATTTATTTTACTGTTGATAGATATTGGGTTGTTCCCAGGCAGATAGTCTTAGCTGCAGAATTGGAAGTGATCACCTAGGCACCATCATCCTTGAAGGTCACTTTTCTTTTAATGGGATTTTATAGCAGACACTGTCATGTGTGCAATAATGTTTGTTAATTGGTATGCATGAAAACAGTAAGAGTCTTCCAGTTTCCTCTTTCTCTTTGACCTTGACTGTGTAATTTTGCTTGCAGCATGAGTCACAATTAGTAACAATAAAATGAAAGAACAGGATGCCAACATCCCGTTGGTTGTCACCCAAAGCAAATAATATGTTCTAGTGTTGCAGAGAAGTATCTCCTCTCCTGGTACCAGTTCCCCATCAAAATGGTAATCAACCAGTAGTAGTCTGCACAATGTAGATTATGTTCTTTACTTGATTCTTTATATTACATTTAAAGTGTCCATATCATTTCGTGGCCAAACATGGGGCCTTTTTAAGAATATAAAGGAATACATTATGTGTCAACTATACTCAAGTAAAACATTTTTTAAAGAAAAAATTTGTAAGGAACACTGTTAATTATGCTGGGGTAATTACCAGGCAGAAAGTAGGATTCTTGTTGGCTGCCTGGGAAGTACAGTTGTTCTAATTTTATAGCTGGAGTGCATCGTGAAGACTCGGTGTTGTAGAAGAAATGTCTGTATTTAAATATGCTTGCGTTTTAAATCTACAATTAGTGTCTTTTGAGAATCTGCTTGCAAAATAATTTTCGTAAATGTGTTTAAAAAAACTTGTAGTATGTTTTTTTTTTTCCTCAGGATGATCGTTTAAGAGAACCTCTGCAAAAACTGAAACTGGCTGTTAGCAATGTCATGCCTGAACAGCTATTTAAATACCAGGAGGACTGCCAAGCTCGCAGTCAAGCTAAGTGTGCCAAGTATGTACCTCTTCTATTTGGACTGGCTTTTGCATTTAAGAAATATTTTTAGCCCTTAGGAATTGGTTGTAAGTGGACTTTATCACCAAATACAAATCCACATATACCACTGAAACTGTATAATTAAATATTTTCTAAATGACACAACACTTCCAATTCAGTTGCTTTGGTGTCAAAAGTAAAAGGTCTGTTGATTTAGTGTATGGGTGTGATCAAAGCAAGAGCTGGCGCTGGTCAGATATTTCCCATGTCACTCAATTTGATTGGCTGAAGTCGGACACATATTTTCTGAACTCAAAGATAAGTAATCATGCCTTTAAATAACACAGGTTGAAGACCTAATTTATCAAACTATTTTATGATGCTCTTCAAAGTATTACGTATAGAGGTAGAATACCTATTTACTCTGCCTTTTGAGTTAACGTTCAATTAAGCAATTTAACAAGTGTCTCTGGAGCATATCATAGCCACTGTTGGGTTAAAACTTCGCTTCATAAAATCTTTTTCATTTCTAGGTTGCAAACAGATGAGGAACGAGAAAAAAATGGATCCGAGGAAGATGACGATGAGAAACCGGGGAAACGTGTCATAGGACCAAGAAAGAAATTCCACTGGAATGACACCATCAGGTAAAATTTAACCAAAGCCTTCACTTTTAACCAATGGATAATGCAGAACTAAGGTTTCTAATAAAAAGAATATATAGAAAATGGAAGAGTAGATTGGAAGCAACCAAAAATTTGTGTGTAGGAAAACTTTATTCAAGAGAACTTTGATTTGGTCCTGATATCTTTAGAGTGCTTTCACTTTTATTTTCATATTCTACTTTTAATAAGCTAATTTTCTAATTATTAAGTCAGTCATATTAGATTCAGAAAGTGAAGTACTCTGTATACATGTATAATCAATCATCCTTTTTACCAATATTTGTGTACCCCAAGTAGAGGGTGTGATTGCAAGACTATCCCTTTCAATCTTTGATGCCTAGATGAAAGGTATCAAAGGAAATTGTCTCACATTGGGGATTTAGCTATATGTGTTAGCAATTATTTATCTTCATGTTATCTTCTGAATTCTTGAGATAATATTCTTTATCATTGCTGTCAGGTTTATGTGCTTAAAAAAATCTGTTTTAAGCTTAATTTTCCACAATTTTGCAGTCAGATTTATATATAAATATATATTTTTAATCTGTTTAGAACTTTGTTATGTAACCTTGTTGAGATCAAATTGGGATGCTATGAGTTAGAGCCAAATAAAAGCCAGTCTGCTGAGGATTATCTTAAATCCTTTATGGAGACAGAGGTGAAACCATTGTGGCCTAAGGGCTGGATGCAGGCAAGGTAAGAAATATGACATCCTAGATTTTATTTTACTTTCTTATTGCTCTGATTAAAGATACATATATATAGACAGATATATGACAGTCATTTTGCTAAGAACCTAGTGTGTTTAGCGTTCTGTATAGCCCTTTCAGGTGATCTCTGCTTTAAAAACTTCAAGCATTGAAAAGACAAAACAGAGTTAGTCACAGGGACATGGAGATACAGAAACATACATAAGGGTGACTTTTTTGTCAACCACGTTCTCTTTTTTGCACCTGACTTTGCTAATAGAGAAAATGGATGGAGGGGTAGATGGCCATAAACATTGGGAGGGGATGATACATGATACATGGTATCATGCAGATAAGCTTAGAGCTGAATATGAAATTGAGAGTGTAGAGACAGAGACACACAACCTTGGGTTCTGTTGAAAATAGTCGTATAGAGTAGTGTCTCAAAAATTAATAGTCATCCAATATAAACCTTAAAGCGCAACCTGTCATCTAAGTGTTCCATCTTAAATCAGCAGAAAACATCTGTTGATCTGTTAAAAGATTTAAAGAAATATTCTATAAAACACCCCGTAAGACAGATTAGGGAATTTACTCTGTGCCGTTATAACTTTCATTTGATAAATAAGCAAGTAATACACTGTTGAAAACCATGTGAGTTAAACAAGAAAGTGCCTTTTATCTGTTATACAAAAATAATCGTGTCCTTTTAACTTTTGCAGAATGCTTTTTAAGGAAAGCCGGAGTGTACATAATCATCTTACTTCTGCTCCGTGAGTAAAACAGACTCCGTATTTCTTCACTTACTTTTACTCACATTATGTGCTTTAGTAAACAAAAGTATTAGTTATTAAATGCGAGGTGAAATAGTGTGCTTAAGTGTACATTTAGGCAGTCTCCATTTTACTACTGCCTTTTTAAAAAAAAGAATCCTTTTACTGTTGACTGTGTAGACCTGAGAACACATTTATCTGTTAAATAGTTCTCAGGCTAGCCTCCAGACACCTGAATGTGGGCTGGCCTGAGGTCTGGCAGTTAGGAGCCACGTGGACAGGAAGCCTCTGATGGTTCCCTTTGTTCCTGGGCCTTCTTCCCGCCAGTTCTTTTGTGTCCTTTTTCTTTCCTGCTTAATGACGATCAGCATAGCCAACCTATAGCTTTATGCCTTGGGAGACAGCTGTTGGTACATACCTACCCTGCCTCGTCTTGCAGAGTGCTTCATTCCACAAAATTAACTTATTTTCCATGCCCTGCCCTTCTGTTCAAAACTGGATATTTCCCTAGTGGTGTGATTACTAAAGAAAGGCCTCTTGTTATCCTGATAGGCAGTAGTAAAAAGCTGTTTTTTTTGTGGTTATATTTTGGGTAATTATTGGTTGACTTGACAAGAATTTTATTTTTACCTACAACTAAGAGCTATTTCTCTGCACCATAGAAGTGTAATAATAAGTTGAAAAAATATATAAAATTAGCAAGTTACTGAGACTTTATGGACCACTGTAATTCAGTATTCTACATGGTCTGGTCTGGATAACGTTACAAAACTCTCCGTCCCCGTGTATCCAATTTTAGTGGAATTTTTTTACAGCTCTTAGAAAGGACATTTTGTTAGTCTACTATCAGCGTTATGTTGAGTTGATTGTGGTTTTCAGTTCTTGCTATTCTTATTTTTTGAATAGAAATGTGGGATAAGTTTGGTTTCATACACATAGGTTTACTTTGTTGCTGGTGGTTTAATTATCCTGGGGTCCGGGAGATATCGATATGCATATATGTATTGGTATCAATAATATTTCTGGCCTTTAATTTCCCAGTAGTTCTAAAATCACAACTGTATTACAATTTAGGTGTAAATAATTCATCCCTTTAAATCTAAAGCAGATATTTACATAGATCCTCTCTCAGTTTTTTTATGTAGCTTTATTATTATGACTAACTTTGTGTTTTGTTTGATCTTGTTTTATGTCAGAAAGCACAAATTGAAGGGATGTTTGGGCCTGACATTTTTTTGCCCCAATGGTCTTTATAAAAAAAACTTTGAAAATTACTGTTACCTTAATGAAGTTGTAGATTGGTAGTTTTAATCAAGATATTTGTTAATTTAATGGATGACATTTCAACTTAATGAAGTGGAAATACTCAGTGTGAGGTATTTTAGCTTGTTAATCCTTTAGTCATTCAACAGACATTTAGGTACTTTATCCTACTATGGAACCTGTAAGGTTTCTTGTCTTCAGACTTTTTCACACTGGTTCCCAAAGGTTCCAGAGTTCTTGCCTTTTTTTTTCTGTCATTTTGACATTTTTTATTTGATTTTTCATAGTAACATAATTTCTTTAAATACGAGGGTTTGTTTTTTTAAATAATATCTTATTTACAAGTTCTTGGCAATGGTTTTTCTTAAATTATGGTTTAATTTGAACTTGAACTTTCTTGAAGATCTGTTTTCCTGTAAATAATTATTAATTCTTACCAGTTCTTTGAAATGAGTCTTCTTAGGCAGCTTTGTTACCCTGTCTTCAGTTATTTACATTTAATTTTTTAAAACCCATTATCATCTACAATTCATATTTTGCTAATAGTTTGGCCTTTCTTCCAGTTAATCGAAATTGGAGGAAATGTTATTGTATATGCATATGTAAACTGTGTGTGTGGGTGTGTGTGGGGGCGTGTATATATATATATATATGCATGTATGTGTGTATGTATACAAATATATGTGTGTATATGTATATATGCATATATGTGTGTATGTATACAAATATATGTATATATATATAGTTCTTTTGTAGAATTTTTCCAAATAGCATAAGAAATTATTTACCCATGTAACGAAAAGATAAGAATTTCCTGATGAGTGACCTGTTACTGAAATGACCTCCTGTTTAATCTGTTGTCTTAGGGCAAAGAAAAAGGTGATTCCTGCACCTAAACCCAAAGTGAAGGTAAGTATTGAACCAAATCTTTAATTGATCATAATTGGGAAATGTTGAAATAAATTCATAAGATGAAAAGGATATATGGTATTTGGCATAGATCAGTAGGTACTATATACTCTTAAGAAGAGTGTTTTTAAACTTTGTAAAAATCCTAGGACCACTGTATTTCAGAGAATAAATGTGTGGCAGTGGGAAATTTGAACACATTAATTCAATTGTAAGATTTAACCTCATTCAAGTTAGAAACTCTCTATAAAATATAACAAATATCCTTTAAAAGCATAGCTGAGATTGCAGATAAAATAAGAGAAATCCCAAGGGCCCAAAGCAAAGAAGAAGCTGTCAGAGTGTTACTGCGTCTTTGAAACTTTGGTTGCCTATAGGGGCATTTGCTGATTTTCATCCATCACTTAATGGTTTATTTTCTAATTTCTTCTCAAAGCACAAGAGATAGGGTTTTCTGGGGCTTATCTAGGTTAAGAATTAGACTGAAACTCATCATAAACCCAGACCTTCAAAGGGTAACCTCTTTGGTAAAAGAAAGGACTAGAAAAATTCACTCACCAGCACCAGCAGAAAGTAAGAAACGTGCATGTCTTGACCCGAGTCCTAGATTAGGGGAAGGAAGTTCTCCCTAGAATTTAAGGAGTTTAGGAGTTTAATTTACACTACCTGTAAGATCTGGGAAATCCTCAAGCTTTGAAATAACTTAAAGGTATTAGATTAGTATTAACCCAAGGCAATTGGCAAATCAAATTCTCGCTTCAAAGGCTTCCCTCATAGATACCCTATCAAACATGAGCTTACAATCTGAAAATACAGAATACACAAGGAAATAAATTACTGTGAGTGAGAGTCAGCAGAAACATCTGATAGATCCCTGAGAGAGGCAAGAGATAGACTTATTGGGTTTCGAACATAAAGGGATTTAACTTGTTTAATATTCAAAGAATGAGAAGACAGGATAAAAAATATCACAATAGACAAAGCAGAGTTGAAAAGAACCAAGTACAACCTCTAGAAGTGAAAACTATAATCATTTGAAAGTAAAATTATAAAGAAATACCACACGCTTTATTTAGGTTTTAGACTTTCCCCATGGACTTCATCTCTTTGAATGGATGTTTCTTTACTTAAGAGATATGGCCAGAAGGTCATCCTTCTCTGTGGCCTTCTTAACTTTTAATATTAGAGGCTCTGTGAGTACAGAGTAAATAGTCCTCTTTTTCTTAGATACCTCACTTATCTTCTAATCCAAATAATATTGAGCCAGTATTTCATCACATCTGTTGAATTCGTGCTTTGTTTTGGCACTTTATTTTTGAACTCCTAATGCTTTTCATGAAGTGTTTGTTAAATTTTGATACATCTATTCAAACATATGATTAATTTATCAGAATTCTAATAATCACAAGGATGGCATAGGGAATTACCTGTTTTTGCTTGTTTGTGGCTTTGTGATTAAATTACTTTTTCCTTTTCCCCAAATGGAAAAACTATATAGCCGATTTGTGTTTTTCCTACCCTACTGTCCCTCAAATATGTATTTTTGTTATAAAGATAATGTAAGGAAATACAGTAGAAATGTGGGGGTGCCTTGCTGGCTTAGTTGGTGGAGCATGTGACTCTTGATTTCAGGGTTGTGAGTTCAAGCCCCACATTGGGCATGAAGCCTACTTTAAAAAAAGAAAGAAAATGCAAACAATATGGAAAAGTAAGAAAGAGAAAAGTATAAGTATCTAGAAAAAAAAACTCTTACTTTGTGGTACAAACCTACCCTCCCTTTCTTGCCACCTTTTCTTCCTTCCATCCAAGCACCCGTTCATTTATTCATATGATTTAACATTTTATAAATGGGATAGCTTGCATTTTTTACTCAAATATATGCCAGGAACAACTATCTTTGCCAGTACAAATAATTTGGGGGCAGCTGGCTGGCTCAGAAGAGCATGCGACCCTTGATCTCAGGGCTCTGTGTTCAAGCTCCACATTTGCCCTAGAGCTTAACTTTAAAAATAAATAAATAGGGACACCTGGGTGGCTCAGTCGGTTAAGCCTTGGCTCTTAATTTTGGCTCAGGTCATGATCTCATGGCTTGTGGAGATCAAGCCCCACTTGGGATTCTCTCTCTGTCTTCCCTTTCCCCGCTGGTGCAGACACTCTCTCGCTCTCTCTTATGCGTGCAAGTTCTCAAAATGAATAAAAACTTAAAAAAATAAGTAGGTAAAAATACAACCAATTTATTCATTTTTTAAAAAAGTTACTTAAGGGGCGCCTGGGTGGCTTAGTCGGTTAAGCGTCCGACTTTCGCCTAGGTCATGATCTCGCGGTTCGTGGTTTCGAGCTCCGCGTCGGGCTCTGTGCTGACTGCCAGCTCGGAGCCTGGAGCCTGTTTCAGTCTGTGACTCCATCTCTCTCTGACCCTCCCCTGCTCATGCTGTCTCTCTCTCTCTCTCTCCTAGAAATAAATAAAAACATTAAAAAAAAATAAATAAATAAAATAAAAAGTTACTTAAAAAAGTAGTTTTATATTGGTAACACTGCCAGAATTATTCCAATACATTCTCCCCTCATCAGTTTCTATACATTTTTATAAAATGAAATTTTCACTAATGATAATTAGATGGATGGCATGTCAAAGCAAACGTGTTTTATATGCATTACCCATTCATATCTTAACAAGTTTGACCTTAATGCAGTTACGCTACAGAATTCTGAGTTACAGAATTCTGAGAGGCAGTGGGGTTTTCAATCAGGGCTTTTGGAGTAGCAGCTCAGGAAAATTGCTGTAGAAGTTAGAGTTTAACAGCATTTTTAACAGCTGCTTTACAGTAATACTGTAGACGGGGATTGATGGTAGAGACATTTCCTCTCCATTCTTTCCCCGCTGTAGTTAAGGTAAGTTGTTGTGGTGATATAAATTGATACACAGTTTAAGACTTTGGGTTTAGGTTTATTTGGGTTTGTTTTAAAGAAACTAATCGAAGAAACTTGGAAATGATTTTTATGTAATAGCTTTATTTCTTTTAAAAATTTTTTATGTTTATTTTTATTTTTGAGAGAGAGAGACAGACAGCATGAGCAGGGGAGGGGCAGAGAGAGAGAGAGAGGGAAACACAGCCTGAAGCAGGCTTTAGGCTCTGAACTGTCAGCACAGAGTCCCACATGGGGCTTGAACCCACAAACTCTGAGATCATGACCTGAGCCGAAGTTGGACACTTAACCAACTGAGCCACCCAGGCGCCCCAGTTTTATTTCTTCTTAATCTTAAAAATGACATGAGTCAAATACTTTATATTTCTTTTTTAAGGGAAACAAATTCTCTTATTTGTCTTTTTAATTCTTTTTAATTCTCTTGCTCTTTGAATATTTTACACTGTGCCATATGGGGTGACTGGGTGGCTCAGAAGGTTAAGCGGTTACGTGTCTGACTCTTGATTTCGGCTCAGGTCATGATCTCATGGTTCATGAGTTCGAGCCCCAAGTCAGACTCTGTGCTGTTAGCACGGAGCCTGCTTTGGATTCTCTCTCTCCCTCCCTCTCTACCCTTCGCCTGCACACGCGCATGCTCTCTCAAAGTAAACTAAAAAAAAATAATAATAATAAACTGTGCTCTAATTCTCTTTTCTCTTACTTGAATTTTAAGAAGGTTAATTTTTTTTTGAAAAAACAGACAATATTCTCTTAGGTATTCAGAATTTTAATTCCTAATAACCCTGTTTTCTTAGTATATGGCCTTGCTCATAGTAGACATTTAGTAAATATATGTTGAATAAATTACAAAAGATTTCTACCATAGTTAATAGAAGACATAATTTAGTGTGCTTGGATTCCAAGTCTTGGTTTGATGTGCCACTTCCTCTGTGTACTGGCTCTGGGTGGCTACAGCACAGGGCATGCAGAGGCAGAAGTACAAGGAAGCAGAAAGTGAGAGTCTGTATCCTAGTAAACCGTTCTAGAGACAAGGGTGGAGTCTGAGGATAAATGCAGAATTTCTTCTAGGTACAAGGAAAATAAAAAGAGAATAGTCTCTGAACACATGGATTTGGAATAGTATGTGAAGACCTGATGCCGGAGGGCAGGGTTGGGCGGCGGGGGGGGGGGGGGGTGGTTCACCAGTAACATAACTAGTATATGAATGTTCTTTGGCTTGGTTTTCAGTCTTCTCAGAAGAGCTAACTAAGGTATGACAGCTGTGTGCAGTGTATCAGATGCTTTGGTTTATGAGCACAGTTCGGTCAGGAGCTCTGTCCTCAGAAATGTTTTGGTTTTCACAATCTATAAAGATTTCCAGTAGAATTTTAATCATCGTGAGAATCTCTTAGTCCTTTAAAAACTGATACTTAATAATTCATTTAATTTTTTCCAACATAATGCTGTTTCTGGTAGGAGTGTAGTCCAAAAAAGGACCAGAAAACTACTGCATCCTTGGTGGCTTCAGTTGGTGGTCCTTCAACAAGCTCTAGCACATCTGCCGTGGCCTCTACCAGTTCTAGCTCTACACCAGCCCAGGAGACCATCTGCCTTGATGACTCCCTAGATGAAGACCTTTCTTTCCATCCACCTGCACTGGATCTTGTTTCTGAAGCTTTAGCCGTTATCAACAATGGGAACAAGGGCCCCCCAGCTGGCTCAAGGATAAGCATGCCAACTGCAAAGCCTCGCCCAGGACTGAGAGAAGAAAAATTAGCAAGTATCATGAGTAAGCTGCCACTGGCTACTCCTAAAAAACTAGATTCTTCTCAGACTGCACATTCATCAAGTCTTATTGCTGGTCACACGGGGCCAGTACCAAAGAAACCCCAGGATTTAGCTCATACTGGCATTTCTTCAGGCCTTATTGCTGGTTCTTCAATTCAGAACCCTAAAGTCTCCTTGGAACCGTTGCCAGCCAGGCTGCTTCAGCAAGGACTACAGAGGTCGAGTCAGATTCACGCTTCTTCCTCCTCACAGACCCATGTTTCCTCTTCTTCCCAAGCCCAAGTTGCTGCCTCCTCTCACGCTCTGGGAACTTCAGAGGCCCAAGACGCTTCTTCATTAACACAAGTAACAAAGGTGCACCAGCATTCAGCTGTCCAACAAAACTATGTGTCTCCATTACAAGCAACCATTAGTAAATCACAGACCAACCCAGTGGTGAAATTAAGTAATAATCCCCAACTTTCCTGTTCATCCCCGCTTATTAAGACTTCAGATAAGCCACTTATGTACCGCCTTCCCTTATCTACTCCCTCACCTGGAAATGGTTCTCAAGGGTCCCACCCCCTGGTTTCTAGGACAGTACCTAGCACCACTACCTCCAGTAACTATTTAGCCAAGGCTATGGTGTCACAGATGTCCACGCAGGGTTTCAAATCTCCCTTCTCAATGGCTGCGTCCCCCAAACTTGCCGCCTCTCCAAAACCTGCCACATCTCCTAAACCCTTGCCCTCACCTAAGCCTTCTGCCTCACCCAAGCCCTCTCTGTCCGCTAAGCCTTCAGTATCAACTAAACTTGTTTCTAAATCCAACCCAACCCCCAAGCCTCCGGTACCCCCAAGCTCTTCCAGTCCAAATGCACTAGTAGCCCAGAGCAGCCACTCCAGCAGTAACAACCCAGTCCATAAACAGCCCAGTGGGATAAACCTCAGCAGACAGTCTCCCACCTTGAATTTGCTGCCCTCCAATCGTACTTCAGGCCTTCCATCCACAAAAAATCTTCAGGCCCCTTCAAAGCTAACAAATTCTTCACCCACTGGAACTGTTGGGAAGAATAGCTTGAGTGGAATTGCAGTGAATGTACCTGCCAGCAGAGGTAGCAACCTTAACTCAAGCGGAGCGAATAGGACTAGTCTCTCTGGGGGAACAGGAAGTGGAACACAGGGTGCTACTAAACCGTTGTCTACTCCACATAGACCATCCTCTGCCTCAGGGTCTTCAGTGGTAACCGCCAGTGTGCAGGTATGTATGTTCCGTGTTTTTCATGTGATAAAATGTAAGCTTGTTTGGTCGTTCTCATGAGTCAGCTTAATAGCCATATAGAGAGAGAAGTTGCTTATGAGAGCTTCTTACCGCTTATGGCCAAGGCATGTTCCTGATGTTGACATCCCAGTAATGGGGATACTTGGATGAGGTTTCTCTTGGGGTGTGGATTTCCCCCACGCCCCGCCGCCCCCCCCCTGCCCCCCGGGTAAAGTAGCACATGCATACTTTCACAGTTTTTGAAAAAACACATAGAATGAATGTTTAAAAGTGTATGTTGTCAAAGTCGAGAACAAAGCAGTAACTAATGAGTTTAATATGCCCTCATTTGTCTCCCTTCTCCCTCTTTTTAGTCCCCCCCCCGCTAACTTTCTGATTTTTTTAATTTAATCAGATTTATACATTCATGGGTTTTTCTCCCCTTTAACCATTTGTCTTTTCAAGTAAAATTTTTATTTTGCATGAAACTTGTAGTTATTCATACATAATTCTCTCTGTCAAATTACTGTCAGTCACCCTTTTATATACCAGTTTTCCCATTCATGAGTTTTTCATTTAAATTTATCGTGCAGTTAGCAGAGTACCTTACTCAAGAAAAGAGGCTTTTCAAGAAGGCTAGCATGAAACCTAGTTTCCCTTAGCTCTAGCGTCCCTTATCATTTCTGTACCATCACACTTGAGGATATATAGACCTCTTGGGTCACTGTCTCCCTTCCGATGTTATAAATACTGTTCCACTGACCTTTGCTTAGCATTTAGGATTATGGAGAAGTCTGAGAGCATCCTGAGTTTTTGTTCCCTTATATGTATATTCTTTGCCTAAATAATAGTAAGATTTTCTCTTTTTACTTGAAATTCAGGTATTCTTGAATTATGACTAGATTTATTTACAAGTTTTTGTTAACTTTGTACCTAAAACATGGTGACTTCTTTCAGTCTTATACCTAGTGACTTTTTCAGCTCAAGAATATTTTGTTCTATTATGTGTTTCATTATGATTTCTGATCCATTTGGCCTAGGCTTTGTGAGAACTCTTTATCACTCATATATTTCATCTCTCTCCTTTCTGTATCATATTCTCTGTCATTGTTTTCATCTTTCTGCCACCTCTTGTATTCTGAGACTTTTTCAGATTTGTCCTTCATGTGACCAGTTTGATTTCTTTAGTATTCTTTCTCCCCGTCCCCTGTCCCTAAAAGTAATACAAGTATTCACTGTAGGCAAATTCAGAAAAAAGAAAAATCACTATCATCTCACCATTGTTTATATTTTCTGGGTACTTTTTTAGATTCTTGTCAAGAAAATGGGTTTTACATAATCTGTTTCATAACAAGCTTTGAAAAATACTTATATTTTATGATGTGTTCTTGGGTTCTTAAATGGTTTTTGAAAATATGACTTTTATTGATTTGTGGAATTCTGTTGTCTAAAAGTAAGCACTGCTTCCTGTTTGTGTGGAATAGGAACATCTAATGAAAGTATGTTTATGTTAGTGTTTGTAAATTTTTCTGCTATTCAGTACAAGCTAAGCAATGGCATTCATAAATTAATGAAACCCAAATCCTCACTCTGCCTTCACTGTAGGCTTAGGAATGAATTCATTCCAGAATTCTAATAAAAATAAAATTCAGTGAACTGATACTTAATTAGTTGGAAATCTTAGACTCACTGATGTTTTATCTATTAATTTTGCTTTTATCAGAAAATAACAAACATTGATTAGGGATTGATTGCATGTTAAAATTTAAGTTATAACTAAGGTCTGGGGAGTTAGTTCACATTCCTATTACATTTATTAAAATATTGACTGTTTTTGATATTAATCCTTAATTTGAGTAAAGGAGTAAATTATGACAGAAATACCAGTTCCCTGCCAAATGGGTCTTCCTTCTAGTATCAATTACCTTTAATTCTCCTAGCATTCTTTTGTGTTTTTAAGTATGAAAAATTGGATAAAGACACTTTATTCATTTTAGTATTAACTTTTTACTTCTTGTCATAATAAGGCTTTTAGCTCACTTTATACTTTGCTATTCTCCTAAAAGAGTTAAATTATAACCTTTGACAATGTAAAATATTGTGTCTGTTGAGCTAACTCATAAACTGTGGTTTCATTTGCTTTATTACATGTTTTTGGCTTTTTTTCTGAAGTTGAAAATAACCTTTTTTCCCCTTCACTTACGAATTTAAGGCTAAATCTTTCCCCATCCTTGGTCATCTCCAGTGTCTATCAGTTCTGTTCCCCACCCCACTCCCTCATCCTTCTCGTATTTGATTATTTATCCCAAGAGAAGCTAGATACTTGGCATACCAATTGGTTTGTCATTAGGGAACTGTGTGGCAGAATTTGTGTTTCCAAAAAATGACTGCTTCCTTCTGGTTGTCTTCCTTTCCGAAATGACTTTATGATTTGAAGACCTCGGTGTTCCTGCCTTCAGACCTGATCCTTTTTGTTCTGTCTTACTGGTTTGACTGAAGAAAAGGTCAATAATTGAATAAGGTTGTTTTAAGTTTGGGAGAACCGATGGCTTTTTGTTTTTAACGTAGCTTCTCATTGAAACCTTGTGACCTCTAGATCCTGTTTCTCTAGCTCTCTGATTCTAAAGAGAGACTCCCTCTCTGTGCCTGTAAAACACTGAGTTCCTGTCTGAAAGGCCTCTCCACCAGCTGTTTATCTGCAGAGTGAAAAGGACAGGTCCTGAGTTCAACAGAAGTTAAAATCTTTCTGGGTTCAGATTATTACCTCTACCTTCTTTCTGTTTTAATAACTTTCTACTCAAGGCTTTCCTCTTCTTTCTTACCCTTCAGCTTATTGATTTTCTATGAATCCTGTCTTTGCCACTTTATAATTCCCAAAATAATTTATTCCTTAAGCAAATGTTTATGAGGTGTTTAATATGTGCCAGGCACTTTTCTAGGTGCTGGGGAAATAGAGTGAACACCATACTCAAGGTTTCTCTTCTCATGGGACGTATATTCCAGGTAGAGACAAACAAAACACAGATTTTTAAAATATATGTTAAGTGCTCTGAAAAATTAAAACAATTATATGAAAAAGTGTGATTGCTGCTAACACAGATAAGGGAGTTGGGAAAAGCTTCTTCCAAGAGACAACATTTGAGCAGAGAATTGAATAAGCAGGCCAGTCATTTGGATATAGGTGGGAACGAACAGTCCGAGCCAGAGTGCAGACACTGAGATAGCAAGGAGCCTGATGCGTAGGCAAGCACGTCTAGACTAGGGAGAGATGGATAGGTGATAAGATCTGAGATCAACCAGATCCATGTGATGGAGGACCTTGTAGGCCACGATAAGAAGTTGGGGTTTTAATCTGTGTTCAGTGGGAAGCTTTTGAGGGTCTTCATCGGGGGAGTGGTATGGTTTGATTGATATTCCAAAAGATTAGGCTGGGCATTGTGGAGAATGGGGGGCCAATGCACTTACCAAAATAAAAACATGTGGTTAAAAAAATTTATATATATTTAATGCCCACCACAGGAAGAGTAAGGTTTTCCTTTATATTTTCCCCTGGAAATAAAGTGTGGGAGTCATGGCAGTGTTTCTGATCATGGAGCATCATCTTGAACTTCGCCTGTTTACATTTGCCTGTTTTATGTTGACAACTTCTCCTGTGTGATTCCGAACGATATCAGCAATAGGATACCCGACTTTTGGAATGTCTCCATCTTATGAGAGAAAGAGATTTATAAATGCCATGTAACACTTAGATAATCTGATGTTTCATTTTAGTTTTATAAACAGAAGTGGATATGGAAGTTTTTTGAAAGTACAAAATGTTATGGCATGGTATCATTTTCTGTTGCTCAGTTACTTAATTTGGGAAGTTGCCCTAATTTACATTTTCCAGCTATTTTAATACTTCAGTTAGCCTCCTCCAGAAAAGCTTGAGTTCTCCTTATTACCAGTATCTAATGTTCCTTACCTGGGGGGTTACTTGGAGCAAACAGTATTGGAGTATGTAGACCGTATTATCCTGAGATTACAATAGAATTATGATTAGAAAATAACTCTTATTAATTCTTAAATTGATGCAGGATCCTTTCTATCCAGATTGCTTCAAAGCATTATTTCTAACTTAGTAATTCTTCCAAATGTATCTGCTTTGTATATCATGGTTGGCTCAGTAAGGGAAAGACTAGAAAATAAGAAAAGTAGCCAAGTCTAAGCAAAAGTGATGAAGATTTGTACTTGTTTTGGAGGAAGTGGTGGTTAAAAAAAAATTTTTTTTTTAAGAAGACAGAATGAGTATGTTGACAATGAATTCATCTTGTGTTGTTATTTTATGGTGCCTAAAAACTAAGGTTTTAAGCCTGAGTGTTTGGAAAGAAAGAGACTGTTAATAATAGCAGTTAGCAAATGAGGTCGGGTCACGTGATTGGAGGAGCTGATGAGTTCAGTTGTGATTGATGAGTGTTCCATATCCAAGTGACATTCCTCACTGAGCTTTTAGATTCACAAGACTGAAACTGTGACAAAGTCAGAAGTATGGATGTAAATTTGAGAGCTAACAAAGAAGATAAGGGAAGGGAAGGCTATTGGAGAAGGAGTTGAAAAACTGGAATTGAAGCCTTCTTGAGGATATTCTTCATTTTTTGTTTAGCAGTTGCATGGACCCTTTGGTGTATAAATATATGTAATTGGCATATATGTATGGGAAGATCACTTACATTTTTCCATGGATTAAACTAAGAAATAAAATGATCAGCCCCTTTATTAATTATGTTTACTGGAAGAGTAACATTGTTTCCTGACTATAGTTAACATTGATTACTGACTAAAAAATATTCAAAGAATTCAGTTTTCTTGACTAAATTTAGAACTGTAAAATTTTTGGCCAGGAAAACTTAGAATTGGTAAAGATAAGACTACAAAAGAAAATTCACAGTTGCAGAAACTATAATTGCTAGTATCTAATACTGAAAAAATTTTATAGTAATTTTTGTTGATAAGTACATCTAGAAAAGAAAATCAAAATGGGGAAAGATTATTGCTGAATAGAAAATTGCTCAAAGAATTAAAGAGCTTAGTGAACTATATTTAAATAATTTCTCAGTGAAAGCTAATTAATGTCAGTGTATTTCAGATTTAAATGTAGTTTTTATAAACATGGCATCAAAACCAAGGTAGAGAAGTGTTAAAACACCTTTTTACCTTAAGGAGTCTTAAGTTGAGAAAAGTAGTGAAAATGGAAACCAGCTTTCAGGGGTTAAGGAGAAACAAAATAATGTGGAAGACGGAGGGTATCATTTAGTAAATTTGATAACAAAAGGAGTACAAGTAAGTCAGGTTGTGTCTAGGGGTGAGGAAGAGCCAGAGATAACTGTGGTTGTTAAAAAAAAAAAAAAAAAAAAAGAGGACTCTGTATGTGACAAGACAGAGGAAACATAGGAAAAGATACAATAATAATACTAGGTATTTGTAACAGAACGTTCTGCATAGGTGGGATTCATGGCATAGGTCAGATGGTTAGTCTTAGAGAAGAGACAGATAAGGCTAATGATGAGGAAGAACATCTGGAATGCCCTCATTTCTTTAGGGCTTTATGATGAAAGCAGAGGGTATTGCATTAGGGGCTCTGAGAGAGTCCTAGTCTGGAACAGTAACCATGGGGATTGTGTCAGGAAGGTGGTAAAACAAACAATGAAATTTCCAGGCATTTTCAAAGATCATATATTAATTGAATTAATGACTCGTGGCTCAGATCTAGGGTCTAGAAGCAAAAGTGGATAAGTGAAAGTCTGAGGTGAGGAAGAAGTGTTAATATAGGGCATTAAAATAAGGAGTCTAAACTGGTGATGAAGAGCAGAGTAGAAAATTACTTCCAAAACCAATATGGGTAGCTCTTAGAAATAGACTTTTCACCTCAGTCTTCATTTTCTGTCTCATGAAGTTTCTGTTAGAGTGGAGTTAGGACACAGTCTTGTGCCCATGAGGATATTAAATACAATAAATCAATTCAGGTTAAAGACTTGATTTCTTATGTATTTTGACCCCTGGTTTCTGCAGTCCACAGCAGGAGCATCATTATTGGCTAATGCCTCACCTCTGACTCTCATGACATCACCTTTGTCTGTAACAAATCAAAATGTGACTCCTTTTGGGATGCTGGGTGGCCTTGTTCCAGTGACCATGCCCTTCCAGTTTCCCTTGGAGCTACTTGGCTTTGGAACGGACACAGCTGGAGTGACAACCACCTCGGGATCTACCTCAGCCGCTTTCCACCATAGCCTAACTCAGAGTAAGTGGGGCTCTTGTAGTTACTGGCCTGCCTAGTTTGACAGAACGGGAAACCTCATGAATTTATACTCATTGAGAGTAGTCCACGTGGAGTTAGTGAAGATGACAGAACTGTTTTCAAGAAATGCAGTTTGATTTCATTTATATATAATAAATCAAATTGGTGGATTCAGAATTTATTTACAGTTCTTAAATGAACCATCTATACCACATTTCTATCTGAATGAAATTTATAATAAGAGGAGGTCCAATTTGCGGGGTTATTTGCATACATATTTATATATGTACATTTTTACAATGTATGTACTCTAAGAAGGACTTTGAAAGGAGGGGCTATGCTTTATAACATTAGATAAATTAAACTATTTTCATTTTTTATCTAAAAGGGCTTAAATCTTAGATTGAAGAAGATCACTAACAATTCTGTTTTTCTGTCAGATTTACTAAAGGGTTTACAGCCAGGAGCTCAGCATGCAGCAACACTTTCCCACTCACCTCTGCCTGCACATTTACAGCAAACGTTCAATGGTAAGAAAGCCACCTATTTTTCCATCTCATAATATTTATATAGATTTATAGATTGGATTATAAATCTCTGGAAATTGAATGGGATGACAAATTTGGAAAAAACAGATTTTCACATGACCAAATCCTCATTAGCAATAAACTTCTTGTTGGTGAAAAGAAATAGGTAAAGAGATCTTTTGTTAGATGTCAAGAAGTCTTTTTAGTTGTTGTTGACAGTGGAACAGCACGAGTGAAGGAGGGGAACAGAGAGGGGGACAGAGAGAATCTTAAGCAGTTCCACACCCTGCATGGGGACCCAACATGGGACTTGATCTCATGAACATGAGATCATGACTTGAACAGAAGCCAAGAGTCAGATACTAAACCAACCGAGCCCGCCAGGCACCCCTGAAGAAAACATTTTGAAGGCATTTGTTATATTGAAATGATGATGAAGAACAGGATTCAGAAAACAGTGTACAAAAGTCATGTCCAGTAGTTGTAATAGTACACATGTTTTGAAGGTTTACTAAGTAAGTGCCAGTTAGTCTTGTGACTACTTACATGTATTAGCTAATTTAATCCTTACAACACCTGAGTGAGCTAATAACGCTCCCCATTTTTATAGGTCAGGAAACTGAATTAGAGATAAGCACCTTGCCCAAGATGATGCAGTACTAAGTGATCTGAGATAGAAGCTGGGGCGCCTGGGTGGCTTAGTCGGTTAAGCGTCCGACTTTCGCTTAGGTCATGATCTCGCGGTTCGTGGGTTCGAGCCCCACGTCCGGCTCTGTGCTGACTGCCAGCTCGGAGCCTGGAGCCTGTTTCAGTCTGTGACTCCCTCTCTCTCTGACCCTCCCCTGCTCACACTGTCTCTTTCTCTCTCCTAGAAATAAATAAAAATATTAGGAAAAAAAAAAAAAGAAATCTGGGAAGTCTGACTTGGTAACTTTTCTGCCTTTTAGCAGTGCTTCAGTTAATGTATGCATTATCCAAACTGTATGCATTGTACACTTGCAGCCCAGCTAGATCACTCTGAAATTAGTGGACATTGGACATAACATATTGGCCTCTAGGTTACTGCTTTCAACAGCAGTTGACCTCAGTAGACTGCTGATACTATTGTTGAAGGCCATTTTCAGGATCTTTTGAAGAGAAAGAAGTGTTCAGCTGTTAACTTGGAGGTTACCTGGGATTTCACTATTGTTTCGGCCACTGCATTTAAAATGATCTTTGAGGGGGCACTGGGTGGCTCAGTCAGTTAAGCATCCAACTTGAGCTTAGGTCATGATCTCACTCACATTTTATGAGTTTGAGCCCTGTGTTGGGCTCTCAGCTGTCAGCACAGAGCCTGCTTCAGATCATCTCTCCCCCTCTGTCTCTGCCCCTTCTCAGCTCATTCTCTAAACAAACAAACTTTAAAAAATAAATAAAAATCAAATGATCTTTGAGGGGCACCTGTGTGGCTCAGTTGGTTAAACGTCTAGCTCTTGATTTTGCCTCAGGTCATGATCTCACGCTCATAAGATCAAGCTCCTTGAGAGAATGAATATAACTTCTATACTTTTTCTGTAAAGGCCTCAGTAGTAAATATTTTCGGCTTTGCAGGCCATATACTCTCTATCACAACTACTCAACTCTGCTATTCTACTGTGAAAACAGCCATAGATAAATATGGAGCATGAATGTGGCTAGGTTCCAATAAAACTTTTTGAAGTAGTGCTTGGCCACATTTTGTCCTTGGGCCAAACCTTGGTCTAGAGAATCTCACAGTCCAGTTAATATGAGTATTTTATTTTGTAGTTTATCAAAACTGCTTTGAGCACAATCCTACCTTGCCATTTTATGAATTTAATCATACCTTAGGTCAAATCATTCTACAAACACAAGCACGTAATATCTCATTATAAATGGAAAAGCCAACTCCTTAGATGTTGTCACCAAAATTACTTTAATAGTGTTCTATTTATACAGCTTTTGAAACAATCATCCTCTCTCATTGATATATCTTTTTTCTTCAATAGAGGCAGATTTTTGTTTTGTTTATGTTTTACCAATTTAGATATCATGTGAATGAACCTGGCAGTTGACTTGTGGTCTCTTCTGGCCTTAAGGTTGATCTTGTCATACAGCAGTTTGTTCCTTTTCACCTGTGTGTTTCTACCATTCGTGCCTCCCCCTGCCTTTTTCTCTCAGGCCTAGGAGTAGGAAGCTTCATCCTCCTTGCTAACCTGTTAAAACTTTCTGTATATTTTGTTGGCTCTTAAGGTCACTGGGTTCTAGTCTTGTCCATTTTAAATAATCAACTAACTAAAATTTAATAGATAAAAATTTAAAAGAAAGAAAGAAGGAAAGAAAGAAAGAAAGAAAGAAAGAAAGAAAGAAAGAAAGAAAGAAAGAAAGAAAGAAAGAAAGAGAAAGAAAGAATAATCAACATTTTCCCAATTTAAAAAAGCATATGTAAGGGGCGCCTGGGTGGCTCAGTTGGTTGAGCGTCCAACTTCGGCTCAGGTCATGATCTCACAGTTCGCGAGTTCAAGCCCTGTGTTGGGTTCTATGCTGACAGCTGAGAGCCTGGAGCCTACTTTGGATTCAGTGTCTGCATTTCTCTCTGCCCCTCCCCTACTCTTTCTCTCTCAAAAATTAATAAACATTTAAAAAAAATTCTTTTAAACATGTAAAACTAGAAACCATTGTTCCCAGTAGCTGACTTTTCTATCACTTATAGCTTCTGCCAGGTTAGGACCAAAACAAAGACTCAGCTGGATTTTTCACCACCAGTGTGTCCCATTTATTTACATAATAAATAATTGAGGATTAATTATCAAATTCTATGCCATGGCAAGGAATTTAATTTCACTAGCAAGAAAATGAAATTGACTTTGTCTTCTAAAGGGATGGAAAGATGTGGTAGGCGGGGATTATGTCTTCATGTTCCTTTATGATCCTCACAGCATTTGACACAGTGGCTCTGAGGTAGATAATAAATACTTGCTGAAATAGTATTTCAGCTGGAAATTAATTAAACCGCAGTCATTTGAGTTAAGAGGATCTTTTTTGTTGAGTTCTCTTTTATGTTTCTCAACCTCTATAATGCTGCACATAGCATGTAGTTATTAAAGGTTGTCTTTTTAGCAGTGTCATTCACATGGAAATTAAAAGTTAATTGTTCTCTTTGCTTTGTTTGCTTTTAATCTATACTTTTACAGTACACCAACACAGCCCAATTAAACATCTCTTTTCTCAGATGGAGGCCAAAGTAAAGGGGACACTAAATTACCACGGAAATCTCAGTGACTTCCCAGTGAGCAATGGAGATGAGACACTCAGCTGGCTGATGGAATCTACCTGAAGGGAAAGTACTCATGTGGTCATAGGGCTGCTGTTCTGTCGATGTTTACATTCTCTCGTCCCAAGCACTGTGGTGAGGAGGAAAAAAGAAAAAACATTACTTGAGTCAAGCCAGGTGCAGGAGGAAGAAATGGCTTTCGTGCAAAGTTAGTGACCCGTGGTCTCCTCTAAAGAAAGACAAAGTGACCATATTAACTGACTTGAAAGAGACTCAGTTGTCAAACCCACAGAAGTACAAATTTTGATTTTTTTTCCCTGGGGGAGGAAGAAGGAATCTGAGGATTTGGGTAAACTCCATCCATCCTGGGGGTTGGATCTGAACACTTGTAGACATAATCGCATAATAAAAGGCAGTCTATCTGGAATTAGGCCAGTTTGTCAGGAGTAACAATCATGTTTATCTAAGTGGACTATGCAGCAAATTTGCCACACAACAAAATTAATGACCCTGTGTTTGATCGAGACAGTAGCTGAGGAAATACTGTACTCTCACAAGTCCTGAACAAACTTGAATCTTCTCCAGTGTGTAGCAACCCCCCCATGTAAATCAGTGGACTAAAGATGTTTCAGGAAAGTTATTTTAGCACAGCGACATATATTATTAAATCATCAAGATTTTTAAAAGTGAAGAAATTGAGCCTGTTGCTCTTAACAGATAAAACTTAGATGTCCCCTTTTTGTAAAAGGGTCAATTTCATCTTCCATTCAGAAGCAGGTACTTAACTCTTCTTCAGGTGATTTGTGCATCTGGTATTGACTGGTTAATTCTTATTTCCATTCTTGATGTTAAAATGTGACTCTTCAGAAACGGGGATCTTTGACGTAGGGCTGCGACTTCGGTGCTCCTAGCGCTGCAGGCCCGACGCCCTGAACTGTCAACTTCCCAGCTTCACCTCGGTTCACAGTTGCTCCTGGTCTTGTAGATAGCGGGACTTAGGTGGCGCTCCATTGTTGACAGAGACAGGTGCAGGTGCGTACTGCACATGCCGCTTCGTTGGTCATTCAAATGGCATATCTATATTTTTGGAATTTTTAAGATAGTATTTTAAAGGGAGGAATTACATTAGGATCATTATGTGTATAAGGGATTATTTTTTATAACAGTCACAGTGTATTTTTACTCCCTGTATCCAGTGTAGTGAAATTGATTTGGAGCATTTGGGATCTTAAAGCTTTATTAATATTTACTGAGAATATTGATATGTGAGTAAACCTGCAGATAACAAAACTGCTTAGTTATTATAGTTTCCTTCTGCAAATACATGCTCAACAAAGGATGTTAAGGGAGGAATTTATGGTTCTTTTTGGATACATTTGATTTGAGGTTTTTTTTTTTTTTGTTTTTTGGCCTCACCTTTGGTCTTCTCTCTCTTTTTCTCCCCGTTTAGGCTTCTGAGTGTTTTCAAATTATACCCAAGATTGGTTAAGCTTGATCCATTTATAACAACAGACTAACCTAAAAGACAGCATGAGATTGGTAGTAACAAGATTTGCATCTGTTTTCATTACAAGTCATCCTATACCCTTAAATTTCCTCAAATAAGTGTATTAACCTGGCCCTTTTTTCCTTTTACAAGCACAAGTCCCAAATAGCCTATAGGACTGTGAATAAATTACCACAGATCTGTTCAGATCTGTATACCTATATTTTGACTCAAAGTCACATTGGCTTGCTTCATAGCAAAAAGTTAATAAGTAACTGAAAACTTTAGTTCCAAGAACTTGTTACAGCAAGGGGAAAGGATTATTTCAAAGCGACCATTGATATAATTACTTGCCTCTAAGAATTTAGTTTACCAGTAAAACAAATAAGAATGTTATATCAACCCCAGTAGATATTTTGGGAGGATGTTGGGATGTTGCAGAGAGGTTTGACTTGAATTGAATGTGTTTAATTAAAGGTTGTTTGGTTTTTTTAATTAGGGAAGCTTACCCAATTCTTGAGTTATTCCAGTGTAGTATATCTATTGGAAAGAGAAGTCTTTGCTAATACTCTATGGGAGATTTCCTTTGGGAAGTTTTACTTCCCACACCAGGAGAGAAGTCAGAGCGTATACTAATCTCTCTTCCTGCTGATGACTGTGCACGTGTGCATCTGTTTGTATGCATACGAAGATTTATTTATTTATAAATTGATTACTAATATAAGTCAGGGAATAATTTCAATTTCCCAAATCCATTAGTTCCGAATCATGCTACGTGAAGATCCCTGACAGTTCTTTGTTGTCGTTAGAGAACAGGATTATCAATTCTTCCCCCATGTATTATTTTATAACCATTAAAATCATCTGAAGGCTCTTGGCTCTGGAAAGGCCATATATATGGAGATGATATTCTATTCTCGTCACTCTTGATTCCTTGAGGACTGCTGCCAGATCCCTCCCTCTGCCCCCTACCACATTTTCACTAACTTACGTCCATTTCAGTCAAGATTACCCTTTTATGTTGTACAAATGAAACAAACATCCTCATATTTCTTAATAGATAAGTAAAATAGATGTAAATACAGAACTGTTTCTTTTCTAGATCATAGCATTGAAAATGGTGTCCATACTTGATGGGCACCTGTCTTTACAGTTTTTCTTACTAAATACAACCATATAAATTGGTTATTTTTTAGCAGAGACTTGTGACTCATACTGTATTTTTGCACTTAAAAGTCAAATCGTGTTATTTTTTAAAATGGTGAGTAATTGGAAAGGATATAGAGCAATGTGTATTTCTGAAGAGCATTAGCAACATCCCAATGCAAAAATAATCAGCACACTTAATTATGTCCCACTCAGCGGGATTCTTGATTCAGGAAAATTAAGCTGTTTTGTTTTCAACTGTCTTGTATTTTAAATTGCCTTCACTGATGTATAAGCTGTTACTGTACATACAAGTTACTCCTCAGTATTCACAAGCAATAACGGTCAGCAGGGTTGTCTTCACAGATAGCAGTGCTGAGCCTCAGTTGGAGACTGTTTGGGAGCAAAGTGTCAAGCTCATTCAGAGCCTCCAAAGTCAATGCAAGCAATAATTCCACTATAACTCAATTCTAATTCTTTCTCACCTGCTTCTCAAATCCGAGAGTAAAAGAAATCATGGTTTTAAAACAGCCTGAAGAAAAACGTTTTGGAAAAAGAATGAAGTTAATCCGAAGTCACAAAATCCTGATATTCTGAGGAAAATCAGAGGATTGTGTCAGCACATTCTGTCATGCCTACCACCCCTTTGATGGATGTTGTTAGCCCAAATTACATTTTTAATATCCTAGCAGTTGAATAGGGTTTATTGCATCACCGAGGTAGGAGGAAGAACCGGGCACATACATGTTTGGATACTGTGGGTTTGACACCTGTTTGAACACAACTTATTGGGAAAGATTTTTAACCCAGGATCCCCTCCCCCCCCCCAAAGCAGATCTAAATTGTTTACTACCCAGGGTTGGAGAGGGCAGGCATGTCTAGTTTGCTCTGGTTGCCCTTACCACAACTCCCCTTTCCACCTTTACCTGGTTCAAGATGTTTTCTGAAATGGAAATTCTGCTGTTTATCAAACTGCCATTGATTGTGAGAACTCTGTGTCCCTTGGGATCATCTCTTAGAACTCCAGTTATCTATCATATTTGCTGCTACATTTGTAAAATGAACTTTGCCTGTATTGGTCGATTTTAATCTAATTTACAGTTCTTCATTTCTAGGAGGTTTAGTCATATAACTTGACCCATGTATAGAGTTAGGATACTTTTATTTTAGGAGTGTACCATAAAAGCACACTGGTTGGTCCCTGTATTCTTTTTATTATCACTTAGGTTTTGAATTTATGTTTGCCTTTTTTGGTTCGTTGATGTTTTGTTTTGCTTTGTTTTAAATTAGAAAATAGAAGAGTGAGAAAAATCTATAATCAGGCCAAACTTGAGAACTTTCCCTTGTGCTTCAGCACTATAGTTTCTGCTGACCATATGTTCTCAAAAGGGGCACTTTTACTTTCTCTCATGCATGTATGACTGTTTTGTTGTGTTTTTTGCTTTTGTAATAATGAAGCAGAAGAAAAATGCAGTAGGTAAATGACTGATTACAAACATGTTCTGCAGTTTTGTTTTATAAAATTTAAGGGGAAAAGTTTAACTCTCTGTAAATCATTTCTTAGCTCTGGTATAATGCTTACTCCTCTAAAACACGCTCAATTCAGGCCTTTGTCTTCGTTAAGTGCCTTTTTTTCTTTCTTTTTCCCCCTCTTGAAAGTATTCTCAGATATCCTAAAGTACAGACTAATAAGTCAGGGGATTCAGGAGGAAGAATCTCATACTTGCCAACGTCATGTCATGCTGTAATATTCTTCCTTTTTTTAAATATGTGTAAGGATATATGTGTAAGATACATACATACATATGTGTATATATGTATACATATGTAATATGTATATATGATACATATATAATATATATTATACATATGTATGTGTATATACATACATATATATACATACATATATACATATGTATATATATATAAAACTAGTAGCTGCTGTACCATTGCATCTTTTCCAAACACACTCCTTTCAGTGTTTGCAAAACTTCTGGCTTGTTTATTCCATTGCTTTTAGTCAGTTCAAATGGGTAGATTGGGAAACTGTCTTCATGCAAGATGCTATCTTCCCCCTTTGAATATCTATTTGTAGAAGTTAACAAAAATACCTAGATATAATAAGTCATTTATTTCAAGGAAAATAAACTTCGTAGACTCATTGACTATTCATGGGTGTAACCCACTGCTCTGTGCCCTTCAAACTTGGCATGAGTAGTAGTGGGGAAAGCATTGGAATAACAAGAGTCTTTTGGGGGTCAAGTTGATAAGGAGCACTGTGGAGCACTATGGCAGGCAAGACTAAAGATAGGGAGCAGCTAGAGCCAGAAGCTTGGTGTTGTATCCAAATCAGTTTTGAAGAAAGGTAGCAACTTTGTCGACATTAAACGTGCATACTATTTTATTCTGGGAAATTATTTTTGAAGAATTCATATAGCTACATATCTGTGAAAAGGATAATAAACTTAGAAAGACTTCCGGGACTCACGTCAACACTCATATAACCTATAGCATTCCTAAGAGATCTTCAGTTTTCTTTTTATTTGCCAGATACTTACATTTGGCTTACTCTGATTTTATGGTTATTTAGATTTCTCCCTTGAACAAAATAGACTAATTTTTCAGTATCTAAGATTCACCTGTTTCTTGTTAAAAACAGATATGACACATTAAGGGAGATTAAGTTGAACCAATCCTCAAAGCCCAGTACAAATGCATCTAATAAGTGCCCCCTTTTAAAGACATTTTAATTGCAAAGAGGAGACTGGTGGCGAGCAAGACGAAAGCAGCGGCTC